TATATAACCCTTTTGCTGATTTTTAAAGTGTTACATAAACAGGACAGATGAAATATTATCATGTAAAGCAACCATAAACACATGAAAAGACCTCGGTTTACAATTTATGATTAAAACTCTACTATCTACACAATATACATAGACCTAAAATGTAAAAACTTAAATATCTTAGAAACAGTAGCCACTCAGTTGTTTTAATTGTCATATTTGAATTCAGCACATCAAAATACATAATAAATAGCACATTTTATCTCTGAAGCAGACGACTTCTCAAAAATTGTAGACCAGTGTAGTCACAGGCTTTTTCCTGCTCAGGACTCTTGGAAACGCTCCCTTCGGATCTTCCTGAGCCCTTCCCTTGTGGTGCCGCTTGCTCCAGACCTGCCTGCAGAGGATTCTCTTCCCCGTTTTCCCTCACCATCCCGTAACCTGCTGGGATAGAGGATCCAGACAGGAGTCACTCCCTGTGCTGGTGGGCATGGGAACCTGAGAGAGGGGAATGGGGAATAGGGCCGGCTCCAGGCACCAGTGGAGCAAGCACGTGCCTGGGGCAGCACATGCTAAGGGGCAGCATTCTGTCCATTCTTGGGGCAGCAGAGTCCGGGCAGTTTTCTTTTTTTGTGTTTGGGCCGGTCCGGGGGGGGGGGGGGCGGGGGCCGAGCGGCTTTTTTTTTTTGCTCGGGGCGGCAAAAATGGTAGAGCCGGCCCTGGGTGCTAGATTCCCTTTCTGAATATTAGCTAAATCTGGAAAGGAAAAGTCAATTTCTGCTTCCATGGCTCAGAAGTGGAAATCCTCCTAGGTGCCTGGTACTGTATCTAAAGCTGCCCAGGTCCTCTAGTAGAGCCTCCCCTCCCTTACTTTTCATTTTAAATTCTAGTGGGATCCACGTACCTCCCTTGCTAGGCTTCAGATAGAGAGGTGCACTGTCCATTTAGTCCACCCAATTCTTTCTTTGGGGGCTGCAAGGTGAGGTCTCACACACCAGTATCCCTAATCCAGTCTGGGGATCAGAGTAGCAGCCGTGTTAGTCTGTATCCGCAAAAATAACAGGAGTACTTGTGGCACCTTAGAGACTAACAAATTTATTAGAGCATAAGCTTTCGTGGGCTACAACCCACTTCTTCGGATGCATATAAAGTCTGGGGATGTCTTCTGAAGGGGATAGATGGGCCAAAGCCTTCTACTCCTTGGGCATACTTGTTCCCTGTTTTAGGGTTACCTACCATACGTCCAAATTTTCACGGACATGTCCGGCTTTTTGGATTTTAAATAGACGTCCGGGAGGAATTTGTAAAACTCTCAAAAGGTCCGGGATTTCCCTCCCAATGTATAGCGCAGCGCAGCTGACAGGGCGGCCTGGCCGGATTGAGCCGCTCGCATTGGGGACTCCAGCAGCCAGAGCCCCACCCCTGCTCCCCCACCTCTCCTCCCCTGCAGCCTCAGCGTGCCACACCAGCAGCACTCTGGGGGGACGGGGCTGGGCACTCTGGGGAGCGCAGCAGCGTGTCTGGCTCTGCATGGAAGCAGACACGCTGGTCTGAGCGGCACGGTAAAGGGGTCGGGGGGTTGGAGAAGGGGCATGGGATCCCGGGGGGCAGTCAAGGGACAGGGAGCGGGGGGGTTGGATGGGTCGGGTGTTCAGGGGGGGCTGTCAGGGGCCGGGGGTGTGGAGAGGGGTCGGGGCGTCAAGGGACAGGGAGGGTTAGATGGGTCAGGGGTTCTGGGGGGGGCCCTAATCAGGGGACAGGCAGTGGTTGGATAGGCGTGGGAGTCCCGGGAGTCTGTCAGGGGGCGGAGGTGTGGATAGGGGTCGGGGCAGTCAGGGGACAGGTAGCAGGTGGGGACCTAGGGGGGCAGTAGGGTGTGGGGGTCTCAGGAGGGGGCAGTCAGGGACAAGGAGAAGGGAGACTTAGATAGGGGGTGGGGTCCCGGGGGGCAGTTAGGGGCAGGGGTCCCTGGAGGGGGCGATCAGGGGACAAGGAGCAGGGGGAGTTGGATGGGTTGGGGGTTCTGTGGGGGGCAGTCAGGGGGTGGGAAGTGGGAGGGAGTGGATAGGGGGTGGGGCTATTCCCCCCTTCCCCGTGAAGTGTCCTCTTTTTTGAATGTGGTATCCCTACCGTTCACAGTGCCACCCCGTTCTAGCAGTGAGCTCTCCATTCACAGCAAGCCTCCGCATGAGGTCTCAGCTCCCTACCTACCTCCCCCTCCCTTTCCTGTTGATAGCTGCCAAGGGAATGCTGGGAAATGTAGTTCTTTCCTTGCTCCAGGGCTGGCTCTATAGGCAGGGAGATAACCAAGGAACTACAGCTCCCATGCCGCCCCTGCAAATGTGCCGCCCCAAGCACCTGCTTGCTTTGCTGGTGCCTAGAGCCGGCCCTGTGAATACCCTCAAAATTCAGGAGTGCTCAAGCTCAGTTTGGGCAGCTGTTACTTTATTTCTCCCAAATAAAATATACTGATCCACTGTAACTTGCTGTAGAAAAAGTAGGATAAAATAGAGCAAGAAATGCTTCCCAGTAGTTATTAGGACTGGAATTGCTATTTTCAACAGTCATTGACTTTTTTTTTTTAATTTTGTTTGTTTAAAAGGAAGACAGCAATATTGCATTGGCAAATTCCCCATAGAAACGAAGAGTGGAACAAAAGAATAATAAAGGCACCTCAACTTTTCTTCATTTATGTAGGACAGTCTTATAATATGCATCCAGATATCCTCCAATCACACAAGCTGAAAATTGTTCCACTTTACTGCAGTTCTGTAACCATATGGGAACCAATCCTGTCTGTGTTCTGTGCACATCCAAAATTCCTGCTGAATGACCCGCCCTGGGAGCAAGTTACCAGCGACCCAGGGCTGGGGCGGCAGGAGGGTGTAGTTGGTGGGGGTGGGGGGCAGGGCTGGGGCAGCAGGGGGTGCTGGGTGGGGGGGGGGGGGGGCCCAGGGCGGGGGTGGGGGACAGCCAAAAAAAATTTTGGTTGGGGCGGCAAAAAACCTAGAGCTGGCCCTGCCCAGCCCCAAGGGACGAGCCGGAGCTCTCTGCCTGGGAGTGGATTTTATAGGAAAAGAGGAGATTCCAGAGACCTCCAAATAAAGGGGTCTGGGCTGATGGGCACCTAGCCCCAGGGGCTGCTCCGAGCCCTGGCTGGCAACAGGGGACAGGTTTCTCTGCGGCTCTGTCTCTGGTTCGTTCGCGCTGGAGGTTTCTCTCTGTTCAGGCAGGCGAGAAGGGTTCTGGCCGGATTCCCCCCTGTGCCACGCTTCTGCCCTTGGGGAGCGCAGGGAGGGGAGCTCATTAGCCGCAGTCGATAGCGGGCCCTGGCTGTTGCTATGGGAGGGGGCGGGGCGGGAGGCTGCTGCTGCTGCTTTCTGCATGCAGGCTGCACTTCCTAGGTCAGACACTGTTGCTCCATCCGGAGTAGCTGCTCCTCCCGTCCCCTCCCCAGCGGGGTCTGTGCGGGGAGAGCCCTTTCCTACCGCCCCTCTGTGTCCAGCCGGAGGGGGGGACCCATCTTTGCTCCCGGGCGGGGATCTGCGAATCTCAGCGCTGCTGCCCCCCTGAGCGCCTGCAGGAGCCGAGCCAGCTCCGGGAGAGCAAACGCCCCGACCCGGGCCAGGGACCGAGTCTCCCAGCCCGAGGGGAGAGGAGAGACTGGACGGGGCAGTAGGAGCAATAAGGGGGTGTATACAGATCTCTAGTCAGATCCTTAGGCGGGGGGGTGGGGGGGTTGAACCTGTTTGACCCACATCCCAGCTGAGTGCTAACTACTGGGCTCTGAGTCATACAGTGGGCACCTTCTCCTCTGGGTTTGGAACGGGACCTGGCTGAGGCATGCTCTGAGCACACCTAGCAGATCAGGCTTTGCAGGGAAGTAAGGCATTCACCTGCCTGGCTTAGCCTGGTTCAGGGATCGTGCTGGGGCTCAGAAAGGAGATAGTGTCTGGATGCCTAGAGGGAGACAGCGGTGTGCGTGACCAGAACAGGAACTTAGGCAGCTAGAGAACTTTTACAGCAGTAATTTAGATGTGCAGTGAGAGCGGGATTGTATAAAAGTGGCACCTGAAACTGGGACGTAGGCACCTAAATCTGAGCCAGTTAGCTTATCTGAATGATTACACAGGCCCAGGAGGAGGCTGTGAACTTGTGAGTTTAGGAGAGAGTGCCTGGCTGGATTAGCACCCGGGCTCACAGAAGATGGATGGACAGGAAGGGTTAAAGATTTGTACTTTTAAGTTAATGAAATAAGCCCCACAAAGGAGGAATGTTGGTCTGAGCATTCTGGTCTGGGAGTAATCATTGCAAGACGGCAAGAGAGCAAGAAAGAGCTGCAGGACCGAGCATGCCACCAGGGGGTGGCTCCTGGGTGGCACACCATCAAGCATAAGAAAGCCAGGAAAGGCCACAGGTAAGGGACCCCTTGTGGATCTTTAACTGCCCCCTTTTGCTTAAGCATAAAGCATTAGGACACTGTGTTTTATTACATGGTCACATATTATCTCTCAGAACTCATTGTCTCAGGAAGTTGTTGAGGCCAAGAATTTAATAAGATTCAAAAAAGGATTGGACATCACACTTCAGGTCTGAAGCCAATTTTTGGCTAGTAGAGACCAGGAAAAGACCTAATATGGGGTACATTATCCCACACAGCTACATCATCCTCTGAAGCAGCTGGTGCTGGCCATTGTGAGAGACAGAATATTGGGCTAGGTCCATACCTGAGTCTGATCCAGTCTGGAAATTCCTATGTTTGTATTATACACTGCAGGGTTTTTTCCTACAATCTTAAATGCACGTGTGTGACACCCTGTAATATAACTCTGTCACCTGGCATGCCAACAACAACTTCCCTGTGGCCAAAATCTTTAGTGAAACAGATTTGTCATATGATCACTTCTGTCTTCTATAATTGTGTAGGCAGTGATTAATTTGTGCCGGGGCTGAGCCCTGGCACCTCGAGGCTTGGCAGTTCATAGCTCCGACACCTCTGGGCTCCTGGCCAGCAGCCGCAGCTCTCCAGTTGCCCAACTCGGAAGGCAGCACCACCAGGGCCGCCCAGAGGATTCAGGAGGCCTGGGCCAAAGCAATTTCGGGGGCCCCTTCCATAAAAAAAAGTTGCAATACTATAGAATACTATATTCTCGTGGGGGCCCCTGTGGGGCCTGGGGCAAATTGCCCCACTTGCCCCCCCCCCTTTGGGCAGCCCTGAGCACCACTGCCACCAGCAGCACAGAAGGAAGAGTGGCAATACTGTCCCATGCCACTCTTAGTTCTGTGCTGCTGCTGACAACAGTGCTGCTTTCAGAGCTGGGTGCCCAGCCAGCAGCCGCCACTCTCCAGCTGCTCAGCTTGAGCCCTGGCACCTCTTTCATTACAAATTAAGCACTGGGTGTATATCGTTAATTATTATGCTGCTACATGTACGAGCAGGATTTCTGTCCCTCTGGACTCAGATACACTTCTGCTGTGATAACAAAACCACCCCTCAGAACAGAGAGTTGCACTAACAGCCTGGATGCCTCCTTTTCTGACACCAGTATCCCCTTCTGACACCAACCTGGCCCCTCTGTCAAGCAGTAGCAGTTGTCCGAGGTCTTGCAGGTTGGCTTCACAGTGGGGGAGAAATCAGTGATTATCCATGAGGGTTTTCAGCCAGCTAGTTTTCATCACACATGGGTGACTCAAGGTAACATGCTGTGGCCACTGAACTTGAGCTATACCAGGGGTAAGCAACCTATGGCACGCGTGCCAAAGGCGGCAGGCGAGCTGATTTTCAGTGGCACTCACACTGCCCGGGTCCTGGCCACCGGTCCGGGGGGCTCTGCATTTTAATTTAATTTTAAATGAAGCTTCTTAAACATTTTAAAAACCTTATTTACTTTACATACAACAATAGTTTAGTTATATATTATAGACTTATTGGAAGAGACATTTTAACGTTTTTAGCAGGTATTACTGGCACGCGAAACCTTAAATCAGAGTGAATAAATGAAGACTCGGCACACCACTTCTGAAAGGTTGCCGACCCCTGAGCTATACCAACGTACTTTTAAGTTTGAAATCGGTCTGTATACACTGTAAGGGTAAATTGCAGTACACCAATCCTGACATGAGAAGGTCAAACTGCATGCAGGGCAATCCCTTCTCCTAGGAATCTCAACCCCACACCAGTTCCCAGACAGCAGCTCTGTCTCGAGCAGACTGTATTTAGAGAGCAATCTCTCCTGCTCCTCGCGCAGCTTCTCCTGTCCCAAAGCTGCCTCTACTCCAAACCTGGCATAATCCAAAACTAACAAAGCACAATATATCATCCCAAGAGTCAAAACTTGCTCACATGCCTAGGAAAAGGGGTTGGAGACTATGTGTAACAGTGCCAGGTTTTGTTATGAACTTTATTTGCCTCTTTCCTGGGAACTGCCCTGAAATGACCCTCATAGAGTTAACAGTAACTTTCCCAAAGCAGTGAAAGGAATTGCTTTAAAGTATTTATGCTTTTAGCTTCCAAATTTAAGCTAAGGTCCTTCTAGGAGCTGACAAATGCACATGAATGTCTTCCTAGCTGCTAACTGTACACCAGAATAGAATACCCTGTAATAATAGGTCATGCTTGTGTTAAATCTATCTTAGCTGACCATTTAATGGCACACATTTTTAAAAAGTGGCCTCACTGGTAGCCTCCGTTTTTTAGGAACCCAGCTTGACACCTTGGGCAGCCACAGTTCCCATTGGCTCCAGCACCTCTTAAGATCCATAACCGTCTCACCGTGGGCACTTGACATGTGAGGTACTTGAAATCTGTGTCCCTGGAAGTGCAGCAGCCTTTGGGGCTGAGCAGAGCAGCCGAGGTTGCCGAAGGTGACGTGCTGTGGCCAGTGAAACTAATAGGGTTTGTCTACACTACGACATTAGGTCGATTTTATAGAAGTCGATTTTTAGACCTGGACTGTGGGTTCCACCAGAGGGGAAGGTCTCTGGGCAGTTCCCCAACCCACATGGTGGATCAGCAGAGACTACAGGGATTGTTCTCCTTCCTTTTCCCCCTGCTGGCCGGTGATGAGGTTATCTGAGTAAAACAGCAGATTTGAGCCACGAAAGTGGCCAAACTGAGGGCTGCCATGAATCTCTGAGGCGAGCAAATCCGCCAATAAGCGCAGGACCCACCAAGGTAGAGGAGGAACTTTGTCACAAATTATTGTGAGGCAGGTCTCTGGTCTGTGTCCTACAGTAGGTCAAACTAGATGATCACAATGGTCCCTTCTGGCCTTGGAGTCTATGAACAGTGGAGGGAGGGGAGATCTTGTACAGAATTGTCAGAGCAAAGCTCTTAGGCTTGCAGAATGCAACAAGAGGCTACTTAACATCCACGTCCTCACCCGGGAGCATCTGGTTTTAAGGAACTTGCATGAAAAATCCACACTCAGAAAACAAACTGGGATTCTCTCTTTTGTGGGCAGGAAGCCTTGAGCCAAGCTAGCCTCGTGGCGCCAGTGGGACCTGGAGGGGGGGGTTGCTCTGTATTTCATAGATCGTGTGTGCTTTAGAATGCTCTTTTGGTTCCCTGCCTCTCCTAACGTCAGACGAAGTGACCATAATGATTCCTTCTGGCCTTAAAATCTACAAGGGGAACAATACATTCCTCAGCAGGCATTTGTCTCTCACAAAGGGTCTCCATGACCAGGTTCCTATCCGTTCGGATCCCATGCCCCTCAGCATGGAATAGGGCTGGGTTAAAACCCCGTATAACACCTTATTGTAAGGAAATGGAATAAACCCTGATTTCAGTTGTTTGTGTGTTTTCTCCTGAGCAGGATTACTCATTGACAACTCCAATCTGAGCTCTCAGATGGAACAAGGGAAAGAGCTGTGGGTCCCAGATCTCCAGGGCTGTGAGGAATGGGAGATTTCAGGTGAGGTTAAACTAACTTGGTAGCCATCAGCAAGTGAAGTAAAAATGAGGGATTCCCACCAACACCCCATGTGTTCCCCCAGTTCTGCCTTCCCCGGGACTGTCCCCCACAGGGGTCGTATCCTCATCGCAGATGTCACTCATCATAGCTTCCCATCCACCCTGCCTGACAGCTGGAGTGTTTGGGTGGGAATGTCCCTTCCCCCATTTCCTCCAGGGGATTCATCTCCTGATGTTCCAGTCTCTCCATTTGTTATTTGGGTTTGTTCCCCCACTTCCTGGTCCCCTCTCTGAGGTTCTCTGTCTCCTCGGCACAGGGAATGACTCCTGTCTGGATTCTCTCTCTGTTCCAGCAGGTTATGGGACAGTGAGGGAGAACAAGGAGGAGACCCCTCAGCAGGAAGGTCCCGAGCAAGTGGAACCACCTGGGATGTTATTGGGAAGAGCTGAAAGGGATGTTTCCCAGAGTCATGAGCAGGGAGAAGCCTGTGAGAGTCAGCGCAGGCTGGAGAAACATCAGAAAAACCAGCCAGGGAAGGGAGAGAGAAAACCCACTTGCTGTGGGGAAGGACTCAAGAAACCAAAAGACATCTCAGCCTGTCAGAGAGAAGGGAAAGGAGGTGAAAATAGAGATACACACACTGTGTCTGGGAAGAGCTGTAGACAGAGCTCAGAACTTAGTGTTCAGCAGACAATCCACCCTGGAGAGAGGCCCAATAAATGCCCCGACTGTGAGAAAAGCTTTAGCCAGAAATCAGCCCTTGTTAGACACCAACGGCTGCACACGGGAGAGAAGCCCTACAAATGCAGTGACTGTGGGAAGAGCTTCAGCGTGAGCTCACACCTGATCACCCACCAGAGACTGCACACGGGAGAGAGACCCTACAAATGCCTGGACTGTGGGAAAAGCTTCAGCGAGAGCTCAAACTTTATTCACCATCAGAGAATCCACACAGGAGAGAGACCCTATAAATGCCCCGACTGCGGGAAACGCTTCAGTAACAACTCAGACCTCACGAGGCACCGCCGGACCCACACGGGAGAGAGGCCTTACGAGTGCCCGGACTGCAGGAAGAGCTTCAGTATGAGGTTCCATTTAGCTAGACACAAGCACGTGCACGCAAAGGAGGAGGAGATGGAAAGCTCCCCCCTTCTCACACATCAGAGACTTCCATCGGACGAGAAGCTCTGCAAATGCCCTGACTGCGGGAGAAGGTTCAGGGACAGCAGAGGCCTCGTCACACATCAGAGAATCCACATGGGGCAGAAATGCTATCAGTGCTCCGACTGCGGGAAAAGCTTCGGGGTGAGCTCAGCTCTTTCTGAGCACCGGAGAATCCACGTGGATGAGAAACCCAGCGTCTGCCCGGATTGTGGGAAATGCTTTCTTCAGAGCTCAGAGCTGCTCCTCCACCAGATTAGCCATGCAGGGGGGAAGCCCTACACATGTGAGGAGTGTGGTAAACGCTTCGCTCAGAGATCGAATCTCCGGGCGCACCTCAAACACCACACAGCTGAGAAGCCCCATAAATGCACCCAGTGTGGGAAGAGCTTTGTCAAGCACTCCATCCTGGCCAGGCACCAGATCACCCACACGGACCTGAAACCGTTTAAATGCTCCGCGTGCAGCAAAAGCTTCACTCAGCTCTCCAGCCTCACGAGGCATGAGAGGGTCCATGAGGCAGAGATGCTCTCCGAGCCCCCTGACTGGATGGCAGAAATGAACCATACATTCATCGATTCCAGTGGGCGGGCGTGGAATTGGGCTCAAGAGTACCCAGCTGCCCGGCTGTGGGGCGAGGAGGCAGCCGTAACCAGCCCCAAACTGATCAGTGACCCGCGGCCTACACCTGGTCTGGCAAACCCCAGGCAGGTCAGGGGAGACCTCAGCCAGCCCCTTTTAAGTGCTGTTGAACTGGCTGCTGAGCTACCAAGCTCTTCTGCCTCCTGCCAAGACAGTGCATCCATCTCCCTGGACTGAAAGATCCCCCGTCCCCTTAACCGCTTCCCCAGGCCACCAGCCTCAGGAGCCACACTAGAGGAGGGCATTGCGGCTGGGATTTCCCGAGACACCCAGGGGGCAGGATTGGAGGTAGTGGGAAGCAGAGAGGGCCAGCTGGCTGCTAGGGGTATTAAGTGTCTGGGGACTGGGGGTTAAGGAATCATAGAATATCAGGGTTAGAAGGGACCTCAGGAAGTCATCTAGTCCAACCCCCTGCTCAAAGCAGGGGGAGGATGGGCAGGGTTAGGATGCTGCATTCCCCTCAGTTGGAGTCTCAGCATCTCTGAAAGCCAATCCTGATACTTTTAATGACCACCATTAGTCACTTGCGCCATCACTTCCTGGTAAAATCTGCTGCTTTTTCCCACCCTTTGGGTGTCTTCCCCACCCTTCTTTCCAGGTGTCCCTCCCCTGCCTCTGTATTTCTCCTTCTGTCTTTCCTCAGCATGTCCTCTGCTGCAGCAGTTCATGCAGTCATTACTCCCTTTCCCCCCATCCCCTCTGCTACAAGGACAAGCAATGACACAGTCGGGCTGGCATGTACAGTGCCATAGGGATTTAGCGTAAACCCCACCGCAAGAGGAAAGGGGGCGGGGCTTTCTGCAGACACCACTGAACCAGACTTACCTCGTGTTTGGAAGGTTCCCTTCTCTAACAAATGAAAGCTTAGATTCTGCAGGATCTGGATATGCCAGGGGAAGCACACAAACACTTCCGGCAGCTGGATGTTTGATACTGCTCTCTTACATACAACGATTATGGTCGGTATGGAAATGCTTAAGCCGACAGATAGAGGGATGTGTATGGAGAAAATAGATAAATAGAAAAAAGACTCTCCCAGGGACCAATAAAAGATCGTTCCCTCTTGAATATTTTCTAGAGCTTGTTGGAAGGATTGGACTCCAAGTATAATTTTACACCGTTAAAGAAGACCCAAGTATCTTGCAGTGTATTGTAAAAAGGATTTTTCATTAAAATTGAAGGGGGAAATGGTTGGAAAGTTACTTGAGTTAATCCAGTAGCAGGAACCTTTTTGTAGTTGATGGGTATCTTTCTGTTTTATACTTTTTTATTTTAAACTGCAGGCATATGTGGTTTGAGAAAGCTCCCAAGGGAAACTTTATAAATCAAAATAAAATAATTGTATGATGGCTGAAATGCTGGCACAGCTCCTTAGGGACTTATCAAGGAAAGGGGTGTGTGTGTGTGTATACGTGTGTACATGTACACAAAAGATATACCTATTTGAGATGGGAAAGTAACTGAAACTACAGTAAAAGCTTTGTTATCTGGCATGTTGGGGGAATAGGAGGTGCCAGTTAATCAAATATTCCAGTTAACTAAGAGTTATACTTACAATGGAATACCAATTTTCACAGAATTAGAATACAATAAAATGAATAAAGTATAAAATAGTAGACAGGTACTCACCAATCCAGTAGTAGTACTGCACTGCAGAGTGGTTGGTTTCTTGAAGCACTTAGGTGTAGACAGGTAAAATTTTCTATACAGTAGGTTATCTTATGACACTACATATCACTAAGGGCAGCGGATGGCATACGCCCAGAACACAAAAAATCCACTTAACACTAAAACTATACTGAACATAATTTCATCTTTCTTTGATGATTCAGAAGGCACTTCAGGATCTTGCAGTGCCTCAGGATCATCATTATCAACATCAATTATCATTGTAGATGTAGAAGGTGTAGGAGATTGGGCTAAATCTGTAATGACCCTATGACACACCCTGGAAGCTGCTTTTTTGAATAAATATCTGATATCACCTTGCTGACTTGTCTTCTGCCTCTTTTGCATAAAAGTAGAGTGTAGAATGTGCAATTGCATAACCTCCTGGGCAATATACTAGTCCCAGTTACTAGATTGAAGATTTGTATTGGGAGAGATCAGAAATGCCGGTTAATCGCGCTTTCCTGTTGGTAAAGTGCCAGATAACACAGTTTTTACTGTAATTGATAATGAAATAATAAAAATAAATATACAAAAAGCATTAATACTAATAAACCAATGTCACAGGAATATTAACAGGGGAATAACATTATACAGTAACTCCTCGCTTAATGTTGTAGTTATGTTCCTGAAAAATGCAACTTTAAGCAAAACGATGTTAAGCGAATCCAATTTCCCCATAACAATGAATGTAAATGGGGGGGTTAGGTTCCAGGGAAATTTTTTTCACCAGACAAGACTATATTTTAATATATATATATACACACATAGACACCGTATAAGTTTTAAACGAACAATTTAATACTGTACACAGCAATGATGATTGTGAAGCTTGGTTGAGGTGGTGAAGCCAGAGGGTGGGATATTTCCCAAGGAATGCCTTACTGCTAAATGATGAACTAGCACTCGGCTGAGACCTCAATGGTTAACATATTGTTGTTAATGTAACCTCACACTCTACAAGGCAGCACGAATGGAGGGAGGGGAGACAGCATGGCAGAGAGAGACAGAGACACACCCTGTGTGAGAGAGAGAGAGACGCACGTTGCCCCTTTGTAGGCTGACGCCCCTGTAAGTACATTGTCTTTTTAAGTAGATTAGCAAGTTGAGACAGAAGCTGCTGACAGCAAGCTCCCTCAGTCCTGAGCCCTGTAGTGTCATTGTCGCCGCCCCCCCCCCCGTGGAGATAAGGTACAGGAGATGGGGGTACAGGATTGGGGGGGAAGGTTACTGTACAGGGTTAAAAAAAGAACTAGATAAATTCATGGAGGATAGTTCCATCACTGGCTATTAGCCAGGATGGTCAAGGATAGTGTCCCTAGCCTCTCTTTGTCAGAAGCTGGGAATGGGCAACAGGGGATGGATCACTTGATGATTATCTGTTCTGTTCATTCTCTCTGGGGCACCTGGCATTGGCCACTGCCAGAAGACAGGATACTGGGATAGATGGACCTTGGTCTGAGCCAGTACGGCTGTTCGTATGTTCTTGCTTCTCTTGGCCAAATTACACCAGCTCCCATGCACACCTGTAACGTCACAGGCATTCACACTCCAGCTCCCATGCCTTCCTCCAGCTCAGCCATAGAGCTCACAGCTGTGATGTCACAGGCTTGCATTTCACCAGGAATCAGATGATGGCTAAACGAGTGGGGGTGCCATTCTGTGTTCTGTGCCCTGAAAGAAGCCAGATTATCACCAGGAAGACAAAGGCAAATTAACCCAAGGAGTCAAATACCTGGAGGAGGGGTATTTCTTGGGTCTGTTTGTAAGGCCACCCCCATGAGGGGGTTGTCAACAGCAGGGAGCAAAGCTAGGAACTCTTGCTGTAAAAACATGGTCCCCCAGTGCCGGAGCTAAAAGACCAGTTGTGCTAGCCACAGCTGTAGCAGGCTCATTGATGTCTATGTGTGGCCTTTCCACAAGTGGAGGGGGACAGAGCACCGCACGGGGTGGGTAATGTGTTCTCACTGCACATCCCTCTCCGTGTCCTGCTGATGCCCCCCTGAAAGCAAACAGAAAGAAAACTGGGGGAATCACTTCCTGGAGATTTAGCCCCAGATTTTAAAAGCCATTTAGGCATTGCTGCACTCAATGTGCAACACCTAACTGATTTAGGAGCCTATGTCTTATTTTCAAAGGGATGTGGGCACTTAAGTCTAAATCCTATCAATTGCTCATGGGGATTTAGGCTCCTAAATGCCTAAATCCCTTTTGAAAATCTGATTTAGGTTCCTAAGTCAGTTAGGTGTTGTAACACTGAGCACAGCAATGACTAAATAGCTTTAAAACTCTGGCCTGGCCTGGGCTGTGCCAGCCAGACTCAGTCTGAAGTACCTCCAGCTGAGGTTCACTAACCAGGGTCCTGCCCAGGATCCTTCTGCCTGCGCTGGGCCAACTGAGGCCAAGTCCCAGGGTCCCCTGGCTGGTGTCTGATCCTGGGTCCCCTGGGAAGGCTCTTCCTAGGTGTGATTCCTGTTACTCCCACCCCTGCCTTCTCGAGTCAGGCAGCCGCAGACACAGGAACAGGTGCTGGGTGGATGCTAAGTCAGCAGGCACTCTGCTTGGATATGTTCAGGCTTCCCTGCAGCAGCAGCAGCTCATCCTATCCCATTGGGTCAGCAATATGGGAATGTGACCCTTTCACAGGCTTCCGGGCAAGGGTGCTGGAACAATTTGTATAGTGGAGGTGCTGACAATCATTGAACCAAACTGTAAACCCTGTGTATGATGGAAACCACTTCAAGCCAGGGGGTGCTGCAGCACCCCTAGCTCCAGTACCTATGCTTCTGGGGCAGTGGTTTAGCATCTTCCAGAGGGCAGAGCTCCCTGAATGCTGGAGGGGTTTGACCCCCAAGGGAGCATAATCCAGGCCCCCTATTGGTCACCCAGTGCCGCCCATCTCCAAACACTGAAGCTGATGCCTCCTATGACCATGTGACAGGTTGGTGTAGCCAGCCACCTGTGCTCCGAACAAGCTGCCAGCTGTGCCAAAGCTGGCTTTCACCTTTCACCTACCCCTCTTCCAGGGAGGACAACAGCAGCTTGAATTAGCTCCCTGGCTGCCCAGGGGCACCAATGTAGGGGTGGTAGTGTGGGATAGGAACGAGATGGCAGGAGCACGATACAGAACCCATAACACCAGTTCAGACAGAGGCTGGAGGCATCACCAGCCTCAATGCCATTTTGACCAAAGGACTGATCAGGCCTGCAAGATGCCAGCTCTGCCACAGAGCCGGGATATTTTTACCTGCATGCCATGATATCACGGCCCTGCAATGAGCTTTCCAACATCACTGCCCTGTAGCTCAGCCAGTGTGATACCATGGCATGCAACTGAGCTGGGTAACAAAGCCTGTGATCTGACAGGTTCAGTGCAGCCTTTTGCAGGAATTTAGTGGCAAGGTAAGATCTGTAGCTTTGCAGGTGTTGGTGTCATTCTGGCTCAGCCCCATTCAGCTTCCCACCCTCACCCCCTTCAGGACCATCTGCAGACACTCCACAGCCTCCACTTTTGTTAGCTAATTCTAAACTAGCTTAATACCTCTGTAGGAATTTAAACAGCTCCCACAGCTTCATGAACAGGAGCTGGCGTTTTAAAAGCCTAACACTCCCTTATTAGGACAGCGAGAGGTCTCTGTGGTAAAAGCCCTTTAGGAGGTTTCAGCCCTCATGCCTCTGAATGATTGTTCTTTTATTTTACAAGGAAAAGCTATTACAA